CCTCCTAACAGCACAATCAGCTGTTCCCATCAGTGATGAATGCACAGATGAGTGAGTATCTCCATGATCCTATCACCTTCCAGAAAGCCCCACCTCGGAATACATGAGACCTTTGGGGGGCATTTTAGGTGTAAACCACAACAGAATTTTAGCTTGATGGGAGCACAGTAAGCAAGTATATGAGTGTGCGAGATAAATTCAGAGAGTTAACAGGGTACCTCCTGGTCGAACAGAGTCTCTTGTTTAAGCCTTTATGAGGACTGAATTCTCTGAATGAAAAGACATTGGAGGATTTTGAGTAGAACAGTGGCACTTGTACGTATAAGGAGACATCACTGTGTTTCAGTAGATAAATGGACAAGAGATAAAGCACAGAAAACAGGAGCTTACCATAGTCACCCATGGATGGCTATAGAATGACGTATGGGATGATAACTGTGGATTGGCTCATGCGACTAGTACAGATGGTGGGAAAAGTCAGATTCTGGATATAATAGGGTGGCAAAATACACAAGATTCCTATATGGATTAGTTGTGGGATATGAGAAAAACTGAGAATTTGCAGCTGATCCAGATGATCTGAGCAACAGGGATGGGATTGCCATTAAAATGAAATAGGAAGAGCTGTAAATCGAGAGTGCAGTAGGTTAGAAAGAATCGGGCTAAAAATCATGAGTGTGGTTGTAAACACGTTAAATGTGAAACATCTTAGACAACAGTTCAAGTCAGAAGAACATAGCACTGTGAAGTTTGAGAGGTTAGAAATGGATATAAATTTAGGAGTCAGTGACTTCAGAATCCATATTCAAAGTTAAGACTGTATGAAACGGAGAGTGGTGTGGCACACACCTGTAACTTTGGAGGTTAAGGCAGAAGGATCAGCACGAGCTCAAGGCCAGCCTGAACTACACCATGAGACCTTGTCTCAAAACAGCAACAAAAATAAAAAAGACTTGAGATTACAAAGTGTAGACAGAGAAAAGGAGAAGCAAGGACTAACACCTACTGTACTGCACATGTAAGGGGTTAGAAGAAAGATTTAAAAACCAGTAGGATGAGTAGTAACAGCGTGCTAAGAGGATTTAAGGAAAACAAAGACAGGATGGTGTTAGGAAGCTAGGAAAGAAGATTACATCAAGGAGGAAGGGGTTATCAAGTGTGTCAAAACCTCCTAATGGGTCAAGTTATATAAAAACTCACTGAATTTAACAGTTTATATATCTCTGGTAAAGAGGACTAAGAAACCTTATAAAGCCAGCAAAGGGAATATTTAGTGACAACAAGAAGAGATACCTGCTGTGAGTAAACTACTGCAATTGAAAATAAGTGGGGTGGTAGCTTTTGAGAGAAGAAAGACATTTTTTAGTCATAGAAGAATGTATGTTTCTATGTTGATGTGTGTCTTGGTTATTCTCTCTCGTTGCTGAGACAAAATACCAGACACCCAAAGTTAAAGAGGGAAAGGTTTATTTAGTTCACAGTTTGTGGAGATTTCAGTCTGTAATGAGCTGGCTCCACAGCAGGCTGGCATGGCACAGGGGCAGCACTTGAAGGCGGCAGAAGACAGCAAAAGCAGTAAGAGCTCAAAGCAGGAGAACAAGCCTCATTTCTTCCCTTACCTTGTAAACAGGGTACCACAACCCAGGGCGGTGTAGCACTCAATCTCCATGCCCTCTCCTTGCACAGGATGAGGATGTTTACAAAGTAAGGACCCTGGTTCCCTGCTGAGGCTTAGTTAAACTTCTAAACTTCTCAAGTTGACATCATGTATCAACCATTATAACAGGAATGATTCAATTAGATTCATAAATGATTACTTGAAGGACAGAAGTCTTGTTGAACCAGTGTCCTTTAGTAAACAAGAAAGGGTCATACCTGGTGACGAACTGGAAGGATAGACTTTAGACAGCAATATTATAGTTCACCTATGGTAAGAATGAGGAAAGGACTAGTATAAGTGTTAGTAGGTTAGCAGATCCAGTGAAGGATAGCTGTGAATGTTTTCTTCAAATATTTTCACCTATTAAGACAATAAAACCATCATCTGAGAATAGAAAGTGGAGGTAGAAATGGAAGAATAAGGAGAGGGAGGAAAGTAACAAGGGAATAGGGTTGAACTGGGCAAGTACCACGTAGCATAATTAGAAGTCAGCATGCTGGGATAATTTGAGGGCTGTGGGCATGTATTTATCCCGGCCAACATGGTTGCATATTTGTCTTCAGTAATGTTCAGTTATAATGGATGCAGCCACAGAGTAGGTATAGCATTGAGTTTAACCAGTGTTATGAACTGGTATGGGAGTTCAGTGAAGCTAGGCAGGGGCAAGAAGGTAGAAGAAATGCAAAAGGGGCAGATTACCAGGTAGAAGTGAAGGAAAATATCAAATGGCAAGTTACTGTGAAAATATGGAAGAATCAATGAACTGGAAGTACCTGCGGGTTTGAAGCACCTTTAGAGGATCCTAGGAGCCTATATCTACTGTACACAGTAATACCGCAGTTCACAAATTCTTCTGTTCCCAAACAATTCAGTTCTCAAACAAAAGCATGCCATACCATGGACATCTTCCCCAAAATCATAAAACAAATTAAATCCATTCTTATTATAGTAACCATTCTTATTATATATTTCAGTTTGCCACAGGAGTACCATGAGTGACACCAAGCTAAGAACTCAGATTGTTGGGAAACAAAGGGAAAGTACCTAGATGGATATAGACAAAAGCAACATTTACACTGAGAGTTTGTAAAAAAATAAAATATTATCTACTGACATTAGATTTTCACTGGATGCTTTTAGGGAGACATGCCAGAGAACAGTCTGAAATCCACAGTGAGGGTCAAGGAAATCTCTCACCCAGCTCCAGAGCCACAGTTACACTTGATGACTGGCAGTGCTACAGGGGGAACAGCGTTTCAGAGCACAGTTACTCTTGGAGTATGAAGATGAAAAAGTTGAGAGAAGAAATACGGAATTCTGTTGATTACGGAAGTTTGGGGAGGGTGAGTGAAAAGGACAGGAGAGCGACAGTAATAAGTCATTTAAGAGAGAGTATATATTTACTGACCAACATAAAGAATGAAATTAGCCCTGCTGTGTTGGAGAGGTGGGGTATGGGGCTCCTGCATGCCCCCTATAGGAAGAGTTAAAGAGGTTTGAAGAAGCAAGGTATTACCTGTGTTGCTATTAGACCATCATGGTGGGGTAGAATGCTTAGGGGAATGGCTTGGTCCCAGTGTATGGATCTAGATTTGGCCCTGTTAGGGGAAAGCTTACTCCATGAATCAGGCTAAGCATTGTCACCTGATGGAGAAATTGAGACTGAGTACCAGAAAAGCGAGAAGTTACTTGTCTTCAACCTTCAGATTCTGTTTTTAAGAAATGAGAATAAGAAAGTTGGTATCCAAGCACTTCACCTAGGCCATGCCTTATATTGGAGAGTCACATAATTGTCAGATATGTTGGCATTTCATCCTTCTGCCCATGGGTGGAGATTTTGTTTTTTTCTAGTCCTAAAAGAACTAGTCTAAATATAGCAATTTTACATATAGACCACTAGGGAGCAATATACTATCCAGATATAAAAGTACATCATTTTTCATAAAATAATATTAACACATGTAAACTAAGGGGGCTGAGTTAATGAGATAAGTGTGAAAACTTTCATCCTAGTAGGTTACCTGTCAGTAGTCAACTATCCATCCCCCCAGCCATATATCCAAACATCCAACCTTACTGAGCATCTGTGCTCTGGTCATGTAAAAACCAACAGTAAGGAAACTACTGAGATCCTCATCCTCGCAATACTTAGCCTAGTGAGGAAGAAAACATTGATCAAACTGCTAGAACGATATGTATTATGAGGTCAGAATTTTCCAGAAGTGCAAAAGAAAAGGACTTTAGATTTGAGTTACCCATTTGCCATGGGTTATCTGAAGCATATTTTTCAAATCTCAAAAGGACTAAGATCTGGCAAGCTCATTTCTAGAGCTATTTCACCAGAGTAATTTAGCAGTTGTAACAGGAAAGTAAAGTGGCTATAGTATCAGGGAAAATTCAAAAGTTCTTTTGCTGTTGTTTTTTGTTGTGATTTGATCTTTTCATTAGAGTATGTTTGTAATACATAATAATTTCATTTATCCTGGGGAACTGGGATATATTAGTTTCATATTTTCAGCAAGGTTCTTGCCTTTCACTGTTTTGAATATAGTGTCTTCTGTTTCCCTTCTAGAAACTATTTCAAAGTTCATCAGAAATTAGTCTCAGTATCCTTCAGCTGGATTGAATTGTGCCATTTCTTTTGTCACAAAGAGTTTATATTTTCTGCACAGTTATAGTCTCAGGAAGAATCTGCTGCTCTGCTAGAAACAGAAATGCATAACCCGGACTGTGTCCTTGCTCTCCCGCCTATGAGACAGGTTTCTGACTTTCACAAGAAGCACTGCAGAGGCCATAACCGCTGAGCTTGGCTCCAGTGTTTGGTACCTTGCTGAGACAATCTCCTGCTTAATGAGATCCGTAGCCATCTCATTTTCTCAGATGAATGAAATCTGTTTTAGATACACACAGTCAAAGAAAGTTTAACTTATTTTTTGTCTTTCTTTCTTTTTTTCTTTCTTTGTTCCATTCATCTGTCCTTCTACCCTTCCTGAACCAAGGACTGATTCCAGCAGTTCTCTACCAGTTCTTTCCATTTTTTATTTTGAGACAGGGTCTTACTAAATTCTCCAGGCTGGCCACGAACTTGCAATTCTCCTGCCTCAGCTTCACAAGTAGTTTGGATAATGTGCATGAATTATGGATTCTATCTTCTTATTAGCTATATGATGGTTCATTCTAAACTTCACCTCATGATTAGTGATAGAATCATCCCAAATTATCCATTGGCTATTAAACTGCATGGCTCACCTTGTCATGTTTCAATGTGTCATTGTGTCCTGCAACTCCAAAATCAGATTATGCTATGGTATGCCCATGTTATTCAATAAAATATACTCACTGCTACTTGGTGGCAAAAATAATCCATTGATATTTCGAGGTTTGCTGTGATAAAAGATACAACTGATCTTCACACAACCAAGAGGTTGAGTTTCCCAGAAGCATGAAATGCTGCAGTTTTGCTAGATGAAAGAAGTGGGGGGAGATGTGATGATTAGATGCCATATTCACAGTAAATAGAAAATACTGCAACAGAACATTACGAAGCAAAACAACTGCAATTACTGATATAAGATCATTTATTTCCTGGCTTTCATTGTGTCAGTATTAAAAGATGCAAAGGCTATTTCCAGGACACCTTCTTCCATTGTTCTAAAATTTTAAGGTAGACAAAGTGAAATGTCCCTAAATTAAATCATGATAGGAAGAATAATTTTCCCTATCCTGTTGTAAAAGTCTAGCGCAGCATTATTGAAGGGAGGTGCTTTTAAAAAAGTGATGGGATTGGATAATTTTACCTGCATTTCCATGTGTCTAAATCTGCAAAGTGGATCTAAACATTTTTTCTCTCTCCATAATGAGCACACAGTGTCACTGCCGAGGGCCTCTTCACAGTGTCGGAATCGGCACTGGGAACCCTAAAAGCAAAAGGTAATCAGCATACAGAACTCAACATTTGTATGTTAGCATTCATTGATAATAGGTTGCTAATTAACGAAAGGGATCTTGAGTATATAAAATAAGAATCATAAAAAACATGCTAACAATATAGAACAATGTCTTTATTTTAGCAGTATTTTATATTTAGAAAGAAAATGATAAGAAAATCTAATGAAATAATACCACATGCCATGAGTGCTCAGCAAATGTTTTTTGTTATCAGCTAATCCATGAGTTCACTAACAGCAGAGGTACGAGAGACCGGTGATACAGTGACCATTATTCAGTTACAGAACCATTTAATTTCTCTCTGAAGAAAGCCAGATAACCATTCTAAGAATCACTAGCTGTGTTCTAACTTTGGAGATAATCTCTATCAAGAAATCCTTTTATTAGATCATTTGATTTGTTAGCCTGTAGATATTCTCTTAAATGTATTTATCTGGCAAAAATTAATGGAACTTAGCTTTTACATTATTATAAAATTTTAATTACTACATTATGTTACATAATATATATGCTTTATGCTCTTGGCCTGTAAAGATAAACAGCTGCAAATACCTATGCATGCTGACACATTTATATTACAACAAAAGTAGATATACATTATTTCAATGAGCTGCTATTATTTTTTTAAAATAAATTCTATTCTTTTACACATAGATTTAGTTGTAACAATTCCAAGCCATCATTGTGCATAAAGAAGTAACACACAATAAAAATATTCCATCAGATTTTTTGCTCTTTCAACAACACAGGTTCCATGGTTGTTCTTTCTCTCTTTTTTTTCCCTCCTGCTTGTCTTCACTCTTGTCCCCTTTGAAAAGTAGATCTGTGTACTCTCCAAGTACAGGGTACTGGGAAGGGGCTTTGACATCACATAAATCTGTACTTGAAAACCTGGATTTGCTACTTGTCTACAGTCACAAAGTTTATACTTAACTCATCTCTTTTTCTGCCCCAGTTTTCTTATTTGTGGAAAAAAATACCGTCCTCAAAAGACAGCTGTAAAAACTGTGTGGTAAGGCATTGCAATTCTTATTTTTCATTCATTTCACTAAACTAAGTACTTGGTGATAAATAGAGAAATAGACAAATAATAAAATTTGTCATCCCAGAGTTTAATCTAAAGATAACAGGAGTGGATCTAATTCTTGGGTTCAATGAGTCTGACTCCATTAATTTTTTTTTTAAGAAATGAAACACATTAACTAGACATGTATGTCTTTCATTGATTTCAGGCTGGTAAAAGCAGGAAGTTCCAAACAAGTTTATGCATTTATTTAGTTTTATAGAGATCCTTTAACTCCACTTCTATTCTCCCATTTAATTTTACAAACTTTAATTAATTAATTAATTTTTTGGTACTGGGAATTGAACTCATGACCCTGTGCTTGGCAGGCAGGTGCTGTGCTGTTGAGCTATATCCCCAGCCAAACTTTAATTTACACTTGACTGATCCCATACACCCTTTTCCATGACATTTAATTACATACTTGCTTACTTTTTAGAAAGACTCTTGACAGGAGAAAATTCAGTAATTGTGTTAATGAATTTCAAATAGGGAAGTAGGTTTCTTACACTAAGTTTAACAGTGATCTAAATTCATTATATGTCCAAAAAAATTACCCAAACAATATGATAGTGACATATATAAAAATCATTTCAAACAAGTCACAATTTAAAATCACCCCAGAATTCCTTAAAGAAATCCAGTGTATCATAAAATAGGAGAAATTTTTTCTCCACATTTTAAGTATATAATATATCTTGTGGTAAAATAATACATTTTAATTCAGCAGTGCAAACTATTGCCACAAATTCCTTCATTCTACTAAAAAGCTTATATTTAAGCATGTTAAAGTACTGTAAATTGTGCAATATTTACCTTTATGCATGTGGAATTAAAAAAGAAATAGCAGTCATTCCCAACTTCCGTCATTTTCAACTCCCTTGCTGCTAATCCAGTGATTTGTTTATATATAGATATATGTATTGCAGGAATACAGATATAAGAACTATCAGTGTGTGAATGGGGGAAAACTTCCTTTCTCCAGCCTTTGAGGCTATCAGTAGTAGTCCTTTAAAATACTGACCTCTTTTTGATAGTATACTACACAATAGATAATTCTTAAATAAACTTAAATTAGAAGATACCTTCTCTAGCTTTGCAGAAATGTTGAAAGTGGTTGCTAGTAAGCACCCAACTCAAACTTCCAGAATTTTCTTCATTGTTACCTAATCCATTGTTTGCTCATTGAAGATGATCTCATATGTAACTGTCAGCTGGGTAACCTTAGTAAATACCACATATTCTTTATTTCCTTCTATTAATCAAAAAAGACTACCAAAAAATAAAGTTGAATATTTTATCTGTCAATACTGTGCTTAAATGTGTACCTTAACTAGTCTATATTTTCACAGTTAAAAAGTGGTAGCTTCACAAGTAAATAGCAATTATCTAAACCTCGCACTATAAATTTTTTGGAAACAAAACTAAAAGTTTTAAATACAGTAGGTAGACATGCTATCCATATTCCACAAAACACATACAATTATTTAAATATATACTCACTGTTGAATTGGGGAAAAAATCATTGACATTATTACACATTCATAGGTACATGGAAATAAATGTGAGTAGTTATTTATGCTGTAGTTTTATTCCACTTCTCATTCATCATTAAAAAAGAAATAATTTCTTCTTATAGCGAAAGTTTCCAGATATATTGAAAACGTTGAGAATGTGTTGAAAACAATGTGATATACTCTGTCAGAAAGAGAAATATCAATAAGCAGCTATTGAAGTCTTCTTCCTAGTATTTTTACTAAAAGAATTGGAGCCTAGAAGAGATTAACAAAAACACTTACACAGGTAATTTAGAAGATGCTCTAAAGATAGTACTACACTAAGTGAAAATGTATGCAATTTTAATTGAAAATTTAAAATGTCAAGAGAAATGCAGGATTCACTTTTAAGTGACACAGGATAAATTGGTATGAATACAAAGCTTTAGGATAACAATCTAGGAAATAAAATGCTATGATTTAGAAAACAGTTGTATACCTACCTATAACTGTAAACCTAAGATAAAAATAAAGTCTTAAAGTAAATAAATTAGGAGCAAATAAATATTTGAGTAGACCCTTAAAAACACCGGCAAAAATATATAGAAAATATATCTTGACCTTTGTTTTTCCCTATCTTATACCTTTCAAACAACAAATATCCATCTATAGACTACACAGATAAAATCTCTGTCCTGTGTACCAGCAGCTTCACTGGGCCATGTTCAAATAGTGTTACCAAGCACCATCACTGCATGATTAAATAATTCACCCAGAAGAAATGCTGAAAAATACTTTTACCTCTTGAAACTGTGAATTCTATTAGATACGGCAAAAACAGGTCAATCGCACATGGGGATATTTTTTTCTTTCACTGCAGAGCATATTAATTAGATTTGTACATTTCAGTAATCTTTTGAACACACAGTCATATCTTTTCTTTTTAAAATTCTCTTTCCTTTTCTTATTTTTTCTGTTTCTTATTCTCTTCACTGTCTGCCTGTTATGACTTCACTCTCCTGTTGTTACAGAATCTTACCCATGGGCATATTTATTCCCTGGAATGAAAAGTGATAGGAAATTTATCTCCATAGCTGGGGGTAGGCTTGAAAACTCTCTATTTTGTGTTGGTCGAAGGAGAGTCTCAATGAGCGTCTGTCTCCTTTGTGCATGCTAAAAAACTGACACTTAAATCAGAGAAGAAAGTCTTTCTTCCAGTTTGAAATCTTGTAACACCGCTTTAAGCACAGTGGTTGGGAGCAACTCCTGTTGGTTTTCCAGGTATATGAGAATCAGGCAAAGTTGATGGCTGCTCCCCGTCAGGCTAGGTGTCTGGTTTATAACTGTGAATTTATCTGTGGCTCTTCTCAGATTTGGACTCTTGTGTTTCTGTTAAAAGCTTTGCTCCAAGCATAGATGAGACCAAAGTACTAAAAATAGTGCTTCCTGGGACATGATTAGCCTTGCTGCTACTTCAAAAAGTAGAATGTTTTGAAAGTTTAGTTTCACAGAAATGACAGAATGTTGGACCTAGAAGATTCTGTAGCAGTTGGAAAATGACAGTTGATACTTGTGAAGGTTATTGTCTGTTTGGGACTCATGAGAAAAACTGCTTTCTAGGGTTTTATTTTGTTTTGTTTTGTTTTATGGAATGAGGCCATTGGCATCTGACTGACTGTAAAATGCTAATAAGTTTCTGGTTCCAGTATCACATAGCCAGTATTATGTGGTACTTTTTTTTTCCTTTTCTGTAAACTTGGGAGTTGAGCTTATGTTTTCTTATAAGAAAATTAAAGCTGAACAGAGAACAAAACAAAACAAAACACCATAAAATGACAAATTTCTTCCTCCCTACCCTCTAAACCTAGCAATAAAACAGTGAACTCTTGACAAGGATAGTCTATTCCTTGGGAGTGACCTTATTAGAAGATACAGTTATTTAATTTTTTCAAGGGCTAAGTCAATAAAATGCTGTCCAGTTGGATACATACAGACAAGACAATTATACAAATGAGAATTAAGCCTTGTCCAAGTACAGAGAAGATGACCTAAAGTCAAAATTCTCTTACAACTTTAGATTGAGAACTGTCTGCAATGAGATAGAAAAACTATTATTATAAAATATTTAATATTTACTTTATTTAACCATGGTCCTTATCACCAGTTAACATTCTTTTCAGCAAGACTGTTTTTAGCTCTGTAGTTGGCTGACTACAATTACTTAAAATCCTTCGTTAAAACGCACCTTTAATAAATAAGATTCCTGTAAAAAAAAAAAAACAAAAAAAAAAACTGAGTGTAATTTAGTCGTTTGTATTCCTGTAGTTTTGGATTAGTCTAAGGCTAAACTCCGTACTCCAGAGAGTACATCGGAATCAAGTTCAACCATATTACAGGATGCTGAGAATTAAGCAAATCAAATTTTCTTTTCCAGCTGTTTTGTTAAAAAATTTTTTCCTGGGAAATCAATTTTCTTTCTGTGGATGATGGAATATCTCTAGTTACTTCTAAACTTCAGGGCTTCCTCCATGAATTTATCAGAACAGACCAAGACAGGTTTCACTAGAACGGTGTTAAATCGCCATCTGAAAATATTCACCACTTACAACTTGATAGTGTTTAATTTTCGAAAATATCACCGGTTACAGGGTGAAGCACACACACCCGGACAACGAACCCTTGTTTTTACATAGTCAGCCAGCCGAGGGAACTCACGAGGGAGCGCACGCCCGGGCGCCTCTGTGCCGCACTACAACTCCCAGAAGGCATGGCGGCCGAGAGCCCGCTTCCGGGCGTGCGTCTCCGCCCCTCGCGCCCGATTGGCTGTTCCCGGGCGCCGTCGCTGTGCCCAGGCGCGGAGTGCGAGTGGCCTGAGCCTCGCGACCCATTGCTGCAGGATTCGCCCCGGGCGGGGACTGGCAGCCTTGTGGAAACGCACTGTCCCTTCGCCCTGCTTCTTGGCTCCACCATGAGACGCCTGGGCTCCGTGCAGCGGAAAATGCCGTGTGTGTTTGTGACGGAGGTGAAAGACGAGCCTTCCGCCAAAAGGGAGCATCAGGTACCCAGCCGCGCGGGCGGGCGGGCTCCTCCCGGCGCCGCCGACCCGCCGGTTTCCTGGGGAGGTCTGCGTCTCGCCGAGCCCCGTCCCTTACCTTAGCTGGAAGCGGGGAGTCTGCGAGAAAGGGTTTTCTCATCAGGCGACTCCCGCATGCCCTCACAGGGAAATTGAAAACCTGTATTAAAATTCTCTTCGCTCAAGTCCACAGCTTTTGCGGGGTGGGGGGGAGCTTAAGCAGGGAAATGACCTCGCCGTCCGTGCTTTATACTTTTCAAACGTGTGGTGAGAAAGTGGAGATAACGCTAGTTTTGCTTTGCTGGTTCTAACCTGGGAACCGGGCACTGACGAAGCCACTGAAGATCAGACCTCAGTTACCAGCATTTACTTCTAACTTTGGTTGTCCCATCTTAAGGGTTCCTATTTGCCTAGTGACACGTTTTACGAAGAACAGGCCCCCCTCAGTGAATGCTAGTGACTGAGTAAGAAGTCGCCTGCTTCAAGGTAATTCTTTAAAATGTGGCAAAATCTGGGAGGAGTAGAATCTGCAGGTGAGTTGAGCGTTTCCAGTTTGGACGCAATCAGCATGTGCATTGGAGAACAATCCCACCCCCTTCCATCATCAGCGCCATGACCTAGCTTTAAAGCAGCTACTACCCAGTCCCCAGCTCCTAGGACCAGACCTGAGGTCATCACCGGTTTTCCATTCAACCTTGATGTTTTTGCTTCTCTGATCTTCCCATACTCTTTTCTACTGCTGTCCTTGTTTGAGTTTTTAAATACAGTGTTACTTGCTGCCTAGAGTAATTATCTCCATATTCTTCCCTAGTCAAAACCTATAGTTAACTACTCAATGTATGTAGCAGAGTTGTCAACTTTCTGCTTTTGTACCTTAGTAAATCTGAGCCATGTGAAATGTCATCCTTGATAATGGTTTACTCTGTGATTTTCAGCTTTTTTTGGTTTTGTTTTGTTTTGGTTTTTTTGTTTTTTTTTTTTTTCCGGTACGGGGGATCGAACTCACGACCTTGCGCTTGCCGGGCAGGCGCTGTGCCACTGAGCTAAATCCCCAGCCCCTGATTTTCAGCTTTGTATGGTGGGTGGAATAATCTGTAAAACTCTTCATCACGGGGCGGGGGAGGAGTGGAGACTTTTTTTTGGCTCTCTGCAGTCAGGCATACCTTATAGTACTATCCAAATTCTTAACTGTAAGTCAAGGCCTGCTGCTGATCAGGCCCAGTCTGTTCTGTAACCTTGTCATTGTCGTCTCTGTTGTAGTCTGTTTCATCCTGTGCGCATACCAAGCATAATCCTGTCTCTGTATTTTTGCTTAGACTATTCTCTCTGCCTGGACCAACTCCAGAGTGTCTTTAATTTTCCAGTTTTTATCTTCTCCACAAAATCTCTCATCAATTTAAGGCCGCACAGTGATTTCTCCCATCCAGAAATTGCCAAGGTTCCCTCAGTCCAATTGATACTCATTACTATTTTTTTTAATACACATGTACATTATTTTTCCAGGCATAGTCTGAAGTATTTGAGGACAGCTGGAGAAGAAGAACATTCTGTACTTTTTCGTGTCGCTTGTTTTCCTTTGGTGGTATTGATAGCAAAGAGTGATTTATAACTGGTTGTTCTGGAAGGAGTACTTCTGCTCAGCACGAAATCCATGTGCATGATAGTTTCCCTAGGAGCTTTGCTAAATTTAAGTTCAGACACACAGCTATTGGGCTGGGCACTCGGGCTTTACTACCCTGGGTTAAATTGATACCTTTGGACATTGGAGTCATAAATTAGTGATAAATCCCTATTTAGTTACATCTTTAAAATACTGAACCAGAATAGAGCTAATTTCCTACTTCACTTGACTCAGTATTCTGCTTTATTAGTCTTTAGCTCATTTAGTCTTTTTTATTAGTCTTTAGCCTGTGTGCATTAGTATAATGTTTATAGAGAGTCCTTCCCAGTCGTGTCACGGCCCAGGAAGTTTATAATCCCATGGAAAAGTTACTGGAATTCAAGTGAGTTAATTCCAGTCTACCACTTCCAGTGCAACCCTTAGTGAGAATAAAGATACTCAGGCATATTTGTGGTTATCGGGAGCCAAGGGGTCCTAAGTCCAGTGACAGTGGTGGCTAACTGGAACAGAAGGCCTCAACCCAGGGCCAAACCTGGGTTTTATTAATTTGTGAAGAAGGGAGTGGCTTGAGGATGAGTGACCGTGAGAGCGTCAGGAAGTAGGTGAGTGCTGTGAGCTGGGCTAGGAGGCCTGAAATCACCTCTGCAAATGCAGAGAGAAAGATATGCAGAAGGAGTAATTGGCATAACACAATTGAGGTAGTATCTAATGTTTTAGGGTAGGTGCTTCAGCTCTGATGTGTAATCTTTTATGCCCTGGGAAGTCATAGCCTCTTATCTCAAGGCTGATCCATCCTGCCCAGGCTTATACATGTCTTGTTTGGAAGCCATGGGGGCAGAGAAACACTGCCCTGTCACGGTACTTCAAAGAATACACATCAGCACCTCGGCTGGACTGGTTTGCATTGTGTAAAAGCAAATGGAAGGGATAAGGAAAAGTCCTGGTCAGCTCCGCACACGTCAGTATAGGAAATAGGGCCAGGTTCAGCCAAAATGGAGACAACTGCTCCTCCTTTAAGGAGAGTTGCCCAGGTGGTCCTCCACAATGTTTATATTGCACAGGGGTTTTTTTTCCTTTCTTCTTTTGTACATTGTTAGGTGAATCTTAACTTCAGATTTAGAGTACAGAATATTGGCATAAGTTTTTCTGAGAAATGAAAATGACGTACACAGATCAAATTGGTAAGAGCCTTAGAAATGGTCTTTCTCCATCCTGTATGTTGTTTCTTCCACAAAGAAGAAAACACATGAATTAAGTGTGTAAAAGGTTTACTGTTGCGTATGCTGATAGGAACATGAAGTGAATACACTCAGAGAAAACAAAAGCTAAGAGAAAACAAAAAGCAAGTGGTTCTAAGTACTTTTAACAGTAAAAACTGTTCAGAAGAAAACACATAAGCCAAATTCAGCCTCAAATGGTGAGTACTCCTTGTGCACAGACTAGAATCTGAAAGGATATCTTGGAAGACAAATTGGGCTGCCAGTGGCCTGGGGTGAGGTGGAGGTCTCACAGTACAATTTGAAAACTCACTCAAGAGGTGATGTCAGAATCTCACTCCTTCAGACACTGCCTGCCTAACCTAGGACAATGCACTTCATAAACCTGATGCCCAAACTTTTGAAGCAGTGGCCACACACATTTGGATTGACATTGTAGTGAGACTTTGGAATGCGACACTGACAATTAAAAGACTCATGAGACTACATGAGAATATCAGGTACCTGAAGAAAATGATCAAAGTGAAGCCTAACTCAATAGAGATTTGTTTTATAGACATGATTTTTATTTTGCTTTCTTGGCTATGTTGAAAGTAAATGTAAACAGTCATAGTTGATGTAGCAGAGAAATTTATGTTGATAATATTGTAAGATCTGTCCACTATAAAAGGTAATGGTGAGAAGCCATCAGAGGTTAATCTTCCCTTGACGTAGATAATACATTTTCCAGGATACTTGTTGAACTTTATAATGTACTTTTTTAGTATATAAAGAAAGATAAACTTCTGGAAATTAAAAAACAAAAACCTTCAAGGTCTGTCTGTGATCTGAAGCAACCAGCTGGAGATGAAGGATCCACCACAATGGATCAGAGTGAAACATTAAAGGAAACAGAGTTTAGGAGGAAAAACATGAAACAAATCCAGAAAGCATTTTGATTTTAGCTCTTTTAGAAATTGCTCTGTAGGTAATAAAAATTAAGGATAAAAAGACACTGAAAGAGATACCAGATTTATGTCAAAAGATTATTTGTCATATCTGGGTAACGAGATTATGTATGATTTTCTTATGCTTTAATATTTGTTTACTTTACAAATTTTCCGTAATGAATAAGGAAATTGTTGCTTTGCAAAGAAAAAAAAAACAAAAAGAAAATATGACCCATCTTCCTTATCTCTTTTCTGCTCCCTCAAAATGTAGTCAGAGGCAAGAGAACACCATTATATTCTTGCTCAAACGAAAAACCATATCTTAATTGAAAAACAAGTTTTGTAAATAACAAGATGAACTTACAAAAGGGAAAGGCCTCATGTACTGATATTTATTCTTGCAACACCAAAAATTATGATTGGCAAATACTTGCACTGAACCATCAGAAGCACCTGTGGAGTTAATTAAACATATTATCTAGTTTTTATCAAGTACAAACAGTGGCCGTTTTATATACTTCAGACACATGAAGAAACTTCCTGACCTGGGTTTTTTCTTTCTTTTTCCAGTTACGTGGTAGATTCCTTTACTTCAAATCTGCTCATGTGTTGCGTCCTCTGAGGTTTGGATGGCACCTTGTCCCTGTCTTTCCTTTATCCCATGTGTTCTTGTATGTGGCACCTATACTACCTGTTGTTATACTGTATTTCACCAAAGTCAGATTTTTTGTTCTCCTTGATATTTCCGGTGCCAAGGACAATACCTAATCTATAGCTGGCTTTTAGTGAATAATTGTCAAGTATGTGACTGTGCATATTTTGTATAGAACATTACTCATGGTGGATGAAGAAACAAATGACAAACCATATGGAAAATCAGGTTTGATATGATAGCGTAAAAGGGAGGGGATGATTCAGAACTCCAGAGAAAAACTATTTTTAAACTGCCTTGAAACATGAACAATAGATCATTTCTTACAACTAATGAAATTAGGAACCTTTCAGGTGAGAGTGTACAGACAGAGGCTGTGTTTCTTAAACCAGTTTGTTTTCTCTCTCTCTCTTTTTAAAGCCATTTAAAGTTTTGGCAACTGAAACTATAAGTCACAAGGCATTAGATGCAGACATACACAGTGCAATTCCAACAGAAAAAGTGGATGGAACATGTTGTTATGTTACTACCTACAAAGGTAAAATAAACCTATGTTTACTACGTGTACTTCTCTTTCTTTTCAAACCACATAGATCTGAAATGGGGTATTTGCTGTTCGTAAACCCTTGGAATGCTAGCATAGGAGCAACATAGAAAGGTTACAGTTGTTATTTATTGCATTCTTTTTTTCTCTTGAGGCAGGAAGGTAACTGATGTTTACTTAGTACTTTTTTAAGGGCCTGGCAATATGATAAGTGCCTCATCTGTGTTGTCTCTAATTTGCACAGTAAGCCTCTCCATGTAGCAGATATGGAAACTGAGTCTCATCTAACTGAATTTGTCCAAGGCCGGGTAGTTAATAATGGCCCTACTGGAAATGGAACCTTGGTTTGTCTGAGCCTAAAGCTTGTTGTCTTTGCTGTTTCTATTGGTGTTATTATTATTGGTGGTATCTCTAATTAATTTCATTTTACTGTACTTCAAAAGAGGTACAAATTCAAACGAGTTGTCAAGGGAAAAAAATGCCTTGGAGAGAAAAAAAGATTCTTTGTGATTGCTTGTGGATTCTGAATTCCAATAGAAGAAACAGAACAGTTCAGTGGGCATCCAGACCTATTTCTTGAATCAAATCTCATCTGAAATGTGTTTTAAAAATGTAACAGTTATAGTATACTCTTATTAAACATTTTAAGACAGTGTGTAGTTGAATGGTGTGAAGTATATTCTTACTGTTATTGTCACCACCAGGCATCTCCAGAACTCTTAATTTTGTAAGACTGAAGCTTTCTACCCACAGACAAACTTTTGGTTTTCCCTTCCGGTCCCTTGTAAGCAGCATTCTGCTTTGTCTCCCTGAAATCGATTACCCTAGATACCTCATGTAAATGGAATCATACCATATTTGTCTTTTTGTGAGTGGCTCATTTTCCTTAGCATCACATCCTCAGGATTGGTCTGTGTTAGCATATATCAGAACTTCATTCCTTTTTAAGGCTGAATAAATAATATTCTATCGCATGTGAGTAGCACATTATTTATTCAACCACTGATAAGACACTTGGGTTGTGTCTCTCTTTTGGCTTAATAATGCTGCTGTGAATAGAGGTAAATAAGTATCTCGTGAGGTCCTGCTTCCAATTGGGGTGTGTATCAAGTGGATTACTGAATCATAGGCTAATGTTTATTTTTTGAGGAGCCACCATTACGTTTTTCATAGTGATTGCACCATGTTACACTGCCACAATGTACAGATGTTCCAGTTACTCCATGTGCTCCCCATCCTAATGGATGTGAGTGGAATGCAGTTGTTTCTGTTTACTGGTAAAAAGAACAAAAGATACATTCCACAAGAAATGACAATATATTTTAATCTGATTCTTGATAGTATTTAACTTGATAGCTAATAATTATACAAAATATCTGAACCAGTAGTAATTGTTTTATAAACTTCTGATTTATATATTTGCAGGAACTGTATGTTTTTTCATGTTTTTGTATTTTAAGAAACTTCAGTGTGCATCCTTATGTAATTATGCATGATTGTTGAAGGCTGGAGTTTTAACTGTTAAGAGAGTAAGGATGTGTACAGAAGCCAAGTGCTATCTTACGGTGAACGATCTGGAGAGGCCAAGTGAAAGCTGGGTTTTTTCCCCTCCTTTAAAGCCCTAGTAGGACATACTTCTCAGATCAGGAACCACTGATGTGTATAGGTAACACTTTGGAACCAAGGACTACACAATGGGAATTGCAGAGGGGTTGTTCTTTTTGCTGGTCACATAAGGCATCTTCCTACTAAGTAAGCATTCTCAACAGCAGAGCCCCTTTGGGAGTCTAAGACCAGGCACAACTCATCAGTTCCACGTTTACATTAAGGACGCTGGCACAGTGTTTTTAAACTCCTCAGACCCATAATTACAAAGCCACAACATTAATCAGTATGTTTAACGCCTGGACTAGGGATTGGCACCATGTAAAGCAGGTCAACCTAATTCCAGGTCTGGCGGAATTCACCGTCACCAAACAGTGTAAGTTGAGGGGAGTGTGAATACAATTACCTGATTAAGGTTCTGTTTTCATTGGAAGTATCTCAGTTTCTCACAAACGCTCCTTATTAACATGAGTGTGGAGTGTCTGTCAAAAAAGATCATGCCTTTTTTATTTTATCCCCATTGTATAGCTAAAGACACTCAGGTTCTGCTATAGGTGGTATGTCTTGGACTGCTTATTTTCCTTTGGCTTCTAGGATTGCTGCTTTGTTTAGAGATGATGACCTAACCACTTACTGAAAGATTATACTTGTCTTTCAAGATAAATTTTGTTTGCCTCTGATGCTTTTCCTTTCATTATTCCTTTTTTTAGATCAGCCATACCTTTGGGCTCGACTAGATAGAAAACCTAACAAACAAGCAGACAAAAGATTCAAAAATTTTCTGCGTTCCAAAGAAAACACAAAAGGTTAGGTGGGTTTTTTTCTTTAAGCTTCACAAACTTGAACAGCTGAAATATATGGTTTATCTATTGCTGTAGTATTTCTATACACTGTGCCCTAAATAAATGAAGCAATTTTGAGGGAAATATTATTATTATTATTATTAATGTTACATATAAAAAGGAACATTCAATATAAAATTTAAAATATTTTCCTAATACATAGTTTTGTGACTTTGTTAGGAGTGTTGTATTAAAATGTACAGTATTAGAATGAGATACATTTTGTTTATATAAAAAACAAGTAATTTTGAAAACCAGGTAAAAACCTAAAAAGAAAATTAGTATTGTTAATTAGTACATTAAGATGCCTTGAGATATATACAGTAGCTATATATTATGTATCTACTCATTCATACATGTGACTTATATATAGATTTCTAACTAAATGTACTAGAAATTCATTAGTCTGTACAAAATTGAATGCTGGCTACTTACTAACTCTTAAACCCTTACTCACACATGGTGGTATATTCAAAATTTAAAATGCTAGTAACTTAGCACTGAGAAGTAGAGTCACACTGAGGTGATAATGAATGGAGAATACTTATGTCAAAGATTAAATATCTTTTTAGAATTTCTTTGGAACGTTGAGGAGGATTTCAGACCTGTTCCTGAGTGCTGGATACCAGCAAAGGAAATAGAACATCTGAAGGGGAATCCAGTGCCTGATGAAAATGGACACATTCCTGGTATGATGAAATCTCTGTGGAAATGCAATTTTATGTTTACTAGTAGAAAGAATAAAAACTCTATTCCAGTGGTGGTGAACCTATGGCATGCATGCTGTTTTTCTTCTAAGAAAATGTTAATGTATGAGTTGTTTTTTTCGAAACTAAAATCAGTATTCAGGTTTAACTGCCATGCTGACACTTCGTGATAAATAAGTGGGTTTGGGTTGCAGTTTGGGCACTCGTCTCGAAAAGGTTCACCGCCACCGAATGCAGAGGTGTATTCAGTCAGAAATTACAGAACTTGTTTTAATCCAGTTCCTCAAATGACGTACACACATTTTCTAAATCAAATTTATATAAAGTTAACAGTTTATATCAAAGACTTTCCGTGTCAAGAAATCCTCTCAGGTTTAGAATCATTTCTAAAATTTTTCTGTGACAATACAATTTGAGCCTGGAGGTACAGAGTGGGCTCAGCTCATGAAGGCCCTCCTTTTCTAAGGAGTTTAAATTATTCTGAATATAATGACTATAAACAGGAACAGGAAAACTCAATTGAAATTTCAGAAATGCAACTGTGATGAAGTGGGGTGGTTTTTACTGGAGGCTACAGACTGCTAAGAGGTTACTACAGTAATTGGGTAATGAAGGCTGAAAATGCGGCCCCAATTATATAAACCTCCTAGTTTCCCTTGTTTGTAGTGAATACTGCACAATGATGGGGGATATTCTAGCAATAAGAGAAGGAAAATAGCAGTAACATTCAATAGTTCTGGAATCAATTTGTTCAGTGTAAAGAAGAATTTAATAGGTTCTGGAACACTTAACTGCGTAGGTCAACTGTCTGTGAAATTGGAGAGAAAACAGAAAAGTTAATTTGGAAAAAAATTGCTATGTATAGAGTGGTGGTCACTTCTTCCTGAATCAAGTCGAATTTTCTAGTCAGAGAATGTTGGGTGTTCTGTAGTAGAATAATCAAGCAGGTCAATGCAGTAAGGGTGAACCTATGGCATGCATGTTATTGTGTTTTTCTAAGACAAGAGATGCAAAGTATGAGTTGTTTTTTTTTCTAAACTAAAATCTCCATAGTCAGGTTTAATTGCAGTGTTTGCACTTGGCAATAAATTGGTTTTTGGTTGTATGTTGGGCACTTGGTCTCTACAAGGTTCACCGTTCCTGGGCTAATTCCTCAAGAGAATAAAAAATTAATGCTTTATGATTAAAAGGAAAACCAGTAAAACTACATTCTCAGTGTTTTTAAAAGGGTAGTTTAGAACAAAAATCAGAATCACCTTCATTTTGAATCCAGAAAAAAACATTATAATAAAAGTTGTTTTTCTTTAATAGGTTGGGTACCAGTAGAGAAAAGCAACAAACAGTATTGCTGGCATTCCTCTGTAGTTAATTACGAATTTGAAATTGCCCTGGTACTAAAGCATCATCCTGATGATCCTGGACTTTTGGAAATTAGTGCAGTGCCATTATCAGATCTCTTAGAACAAACATTGGAACTCATAGGAACAAATATTAATGGAAACCCATATGGTGAGTGAGCCTCTTCCTCATTCAGTTACAATAGCTGTAAAGAACATTCCAGAATTAACTTAAAAAACATATATGCCAACAGAACGGCTAACAAATGTCTTAATTTCCTAGTATTACATCCCTTTTTGTTAATGTGATTTATTAATACAAAAGGTTGATTTTTATCTTACTCTCTTCTACTCTGATAGTATGACAGAACTGTGCATGGAAAGTAATTACTAACGTAACTTTTCAATCCCTTTTAAAATTTAAGTGAATTGCAGTGATTCTTTTCATGGCTAATTAGGCATATTTGCACTAGTGAAAATAGGTATGAATAAGGTAAATAATTAGCAATGAATGTTAAGCCTCCAAATATATACTGTGAGGAATAGAATATATTGAGGGTCCTGTGGCTTACACTGTTGAAGGAAAGAGGACAGACCTAAGGACACTGGAGCTGTAACATCAGAAGTAGGTTGATGACGGTCAGGTCTAAAGCAAAGACAGTAATTATACAAGGTACCAGAGACATGATGCAGCTATTTGGCAAACATGAAATGATAGTGGAATATGGCTACTGGTGTAGACTGACAGACTTTTTCTACCAAAGGCTAGATAGCAGCATTTTAAGCTTTGTAGACCACACCTCTGAAATGGGCTTGTCCGCTTAAATGGATGGATATTCCTCTAAAACTGGTGACAAACACAGATGTCTGTCTAGACTGGGCTTGAAGGTCACAGTTTGCCAGCGCCTAGTTTAGAGTACACGTAGGTAGAATTTATTTAGATTTCTTGGAATAAGATGCCACATTTGAGTGGGATTTAATATACTTAGATTTTTATTTTCTTCAAGAAACATCAGTGAAACTTAAAAAAAAACTTACAAGTTTGCCTACATTCTACTATTTTGAGAGGTACAGTCTCATTCATTTTAAAAAGTTCCTTTGTGTGGTTAATGGCAAATTTTACTGTTTAGGTTTAGGAAACAAGAAACATCCAATACATCTTCTCATTCCACATGGAGCATTTCAAATAAGAAATCTGCCTAAATTGAAGCATAATGACCTATTGTCCTGGTTTGAAGGCTGTAGAGAAGGTAAAATTGAAGGAATCGTATGGCATTGCAGTGATGGCTGCTTGATCAAGGTAATAAAAATATAGCTTGTGTTGTCATACGTTCGTACAGCAAAGAGGTGGCACTAAAAAAATCTCTGTACAAACTGCAGCAGTTCTGATTTGCAGAAAAGAAATGTAATTCCCTTTTCCCACATTCTTTGTATGCTAACAGTATTTCCTAATAGGTATTCTGGGAGCCACTGGTTATACAGATAGGCTTTGGAATTAACATGATTCTGCATACCCTTCTGGAAATTTCATGTTGCATAGTGGAGCTCTCTAAGACATCCTATACCTAATTTAACTCAGCATCTCCGAGACTTCCTTGACTAGTTTGTTGAATAAAAAGAGTGCCAATAATTGCAAGATACAGAATGAACTGTCTTACATTTCGTGCCCTTTCTACTTGTCTCCAGACCTGATTTCTCACAAATACATGGAATTCATAATGTTCAAAGCTGGATGTAGTTTTAATTTTCAGCTGTACACAATTCACTGAAGTTAAAAAGTTGGATAGTAATAGTGGTACCTCAGTTTATGAACTTAATTTGTTTTACAATTTTGGGGAAGATGGCCATATTTGTGTTTGTGTGTGGAAGATGGCCATGGTCGTGTCTGTCACCTGAGGCAGAATTTTGCGAATAGAAACAAAATTCTGCTAAAGGTTGTTTGTGACCTGAACTGTTTGCAAACAGAAGTGTTCATGAACCGATACTGTATTTGTAACTCCTTTCTATTACTTCCTTTGTTCAGTTATCAGTTTTTAAAGACTCTTACCCTTGAATATATGTACTTCTTGCCAAGCAGCTGACTTCTAATTTAGGCCAAGATTCATGCTTGAATTACTATGTTGTTCTCCTAAACATTACCTTTCAGTTTTATCCCATCCTGTCCTTTCTTCATAAATAAGACTGTTGCCCTGCATAAAACTGTTCAGTTATGTTAGAGTTTATCACAGTGGCCCTGGATTAACTTCCTAGAACTGTTTTCCATTCCTGCCCCCCAAATACATTCACATTGTATATGTGCAAGCTGTATTTAACTAACTGCAGTTAGAACAAAAAACACCATTTTATCACATATTTCTTTTGGTAAGAATGACTCTTCTCTCATATTTTCCAGGCAGGTAGCTTCTGTAATCAGCCACAGGCTCTTACTAATTAAATGTTATACTACTTATCATATTCTTGGTATATTTCCAGGTGCTATAAATACGTAGTCAATAGAACAGTATCTCTGCCTTTATAAAGCTCATACTCAAATAGGGTAGATAGAAACAAGTAAATATGTAGTATGTCAGGAAGAGGACAGCTGTGATAAAATGGTGCCTTACACAGTCCTGACAGGATCGTAGGCAGCCAAAATAAATATTCCTAATCTCGTAAAGATGACATCTGTAGACTAACGCTAATGCTAATGAAGCTCTTTTTTTCCTCTACAGGTCCATCGCCATCATCTTGGTTTATCCTGGCCAATTCCAGATACTTACATGAATTCAAAACCTGTTATTATTAACATGAACCTGAACAAATATGACCATGCCTTTGATACCAAGTGTTTGTTTAATCATTTTTCAAAAATAGATAATCAGAAATTCGGTAGGCTCAAAGACATACTACTTGATGTATAAAATGGAAATCCAATTTAAATTAGTTTTATTGTTATATTCAAATCTTGAATATTCTGCCATGCTAAAAAGGTAAAAATATTTTAAGACTCCTATTGTATATCATGAAATATATGATTATATCTTCTAGCATTTGAAAAACTGCACTTTCCAGTTACAGTCTGTTCAAGAACTTTTTAGAATCAATACATTAGTTTTAGCCTCTAGATATAAAAAGGTAATGAATGATAAGTTTCCAAGTTTTTACAAAAACTGTATTTTGTCCATGCTAAATTGGTGATAATTTAAAGACAACTGAATCAACAATTTTATATACTTTATTTTCAGAGTTATATACTTTAAGCTCAATTTATGTTTACTAGACATTTAACAAGTGTATGGCTTAGTCTCATAACTTAGTATGTACCCTTTGTGAATATATGTAAAATATGTATTTATAGATTTAGGATTTGAGTCTTAATATACATAAAAGTTACATATAAAATTCTAATTTTAAATATTGAAGCTACTTACCTCTGTAATATTTTAAGAAAACTGGAGAGATTATGAATGTAGAAAAATTCACCCTTACTCATTGTCTATTTTATGATAATAACTTATTCTAAAAGTCTTCAAAAACATATTTTTCTACTAATTGAAAAATTCTATAGTTTTATTTACTAAAACTCCAAGTAAAAATAGAAGTATCAAGAAAGAAATTCTTTAGTTCAGACTTGATTGATTTCCAGATGAAATTTTAACATACAAAATAAATAAGGAGCTAAATAAGATTACAATTACATGTAACCCTTAATAAATGGGGAAATTCACAGGACTTTCCTCTTCATCTTCAGACTGGTCAGAAGCAGCAACAGGGCTAGTTAGTTCAACTCCAACCTGTTCAGAAAGTTTCTTTAACTTTTCTTCCAAGAGAATATTTTTTTTCACTTCTTCCTTGTAATTATACTTAAGATCTTCAATTTCTTCAAAAAATGAAGGATCAAAGTTTTCTAGTTCTTTTTTCAGCTTTTTTACATCCTCCTAATAGAAACATATAGTGTCTTTAAAAGTTACGGATAAGAGTATATGTTTAAGATTTGAACTAAAGAAGCTTAATTATAAACATGAAAGCCACAGTAACCTAAATAGTCAAATACATTCATAAAGGCAGAATTTTTATAAGATTTATTAATAAGGTTTTATTGGTACAGTATAAGTAACTTGTTAACTGCCAAATCAAATTATCTTTCTGTAAAATACATTCTAAGCTTTGGCTAAAATTTATTATTCAGATTCTGGTGAAATTTACTCTTTCTCTAAAAGTATATTCAGAAAGAACTTCATCATTCATAGTTTAGTTATTCTGGTTAAGGTTTTTTGGTTTAGGCTTCATTTATATTTTCTTTACAGATACCGACTTTTTAATGAATAATGATGCTCTACTTTTTATAAGTGTACTCAAGATGAAGGAAAACCTGGTACTTCTGCCTGGTTAAGTTAGACATCTGGAGAAGACAGAATTTGAGCTTCAATTGCATTTAGAGTAGCCAGCGATTGGTCACCAGCTAATTCTCCTATCAGGGCCCTTTTGTTCTGTTCAGAGTATTAAAAATAGTAAAGCATAGAAAACATTTTTAAAGGACCTAATCACCTTAGGAAAAGGTTTCTGAATAGAATTTCAAGAGGTATGTAAAGACATCATTCCCAGTGTGACCTAAAACTTAAATCAAGAAAATATTACCAAAAAAATGTAGAGTTATATTTGTTACAGTTCAAAAATAAATTTACTTTCTAATTCTATTTGTTTTGAGTATTTTGTTAGCACCTACTTAATAAATTTTTTAGCATAAACATAATGTACTTTGTTATCAAGATGAAATTATAATGAAATAAAAATAATTCCATATATTTTCAGGATACATACTTAAAACTCAAAAGATGATCATACAAATTGTTCTCCATAAAAGATTTATAGTATCTACCTTCAAATGCTGCTTTTCTAGATCTGATGTTTTGAGCTGTGTCTCCAGATCTTTTATAGTTTCCTTTAGTTGATAAGCATCTGACAAAAAAATAAAGACGACTCAGGTTTTTGTCACTCCAATTTCAAGATAAAGGATTTTTTTTAGAAAATAAGCAGAAAACTTATGAAACCTACAGCCTTGAAAATACATCATTTTATGGCTGAAACACTTTACAGTCTGAATACTTAATGGTATCCCTGTTAGGTATATCACAGCAAGCAAAAAGAGAAAAGTCATTGCAAATACAGAGTAAGTCCATGAATATTGACTTTTGAACTTACAAATGTTTTGTTCAGTCAGGCAAATTTGTAAATACAGAATCCTCACATGAGGAATCAACTGTACACTGTGTGTGTGTGTGTGCACATACAGACACATTTTGTATATGTATCTGTGTGTATGTGGTATATGTTAGTGGCTTTGTATATATGTGTGTGTACCTGCATGTACAGAGGAATAGCAGACTCATTAGCAATCACTCCTGAAGGGGAATGGCAAGTAAGAGGGACAGTGTTTTGCAGTAGAAAAATAATGTGTACAGTGTTTAGCTGTTTATAATTTTAAATTAAGAACAACAAAGGAACAATTATTAATATTTAGAAGAAAGGGTCTATATTTACTCCTTACTCCTGTGGTGTGATTAAATCTGTAACACCTTGTGCAACATGTGAGAAATCTATACTTGCTACTCAACATAAACAGAGGTTTGAATGGGAATACTTTTATTGGGAGACAACAACTCCTAAAAGTTCCTATCAGGGATTTGGTTCTCTAGGGAGATAATTATTAGAAACCTAAACAAACATGGCAAATTCTAATTAAAAAATGTGGGGTAGATAACAAGTCTTAAAAAATACATTACCAGGAACAGTGCTTTCAGCTCCACTTTGATCCTTGTTTACTTCTATCTGATATATTAATTCTGCTTTTTCTTTCTCCAGTTGACTGTAAGCTAGTCTGGAACACAATGATGTATTTTTAAAAAGCCTATAGACATCGCTTCACAAAATACATGAGTACTTCTTAGAAACTATTGATGTACAGTTCTCACAACATGTTAGTATTTATGAAGGTAAACATTTATTCACCTTTTTTCTGAAACATTCTCAGACAGTATAGAATCAAAAGCCTTGAACATCTACCCTGATGTTAGTTTTAAGAGTAGTTTTCTTATAAGGACTCAATGAAAATAGGCTATAGAGACTCCTCCAAGTAAACAACTGTCCTTTAGTATTTGTTCCCGGAAAACAGTGGCTTTATCCAACCATGCCACTAGGGAAATTTAAATTACCAATGGGCAGCATTAGGATTGGATATAGCCTTTTTCTCAGTATCTAATATATAAAGGAGTAACTAGCCCTGGAACGATGACATAATGACCTATTAAGCAGCAAAGTTGAAAGAATCTACTCTCTAGCTATAGAAAATCTAGTTACATAAAACACAGTTTTAAAAAAGAAAGAAAAATAAAAGTAGTCATATGAATACAGAATGTACCTAAGAACCTGCAGCTCCCGTTTAAGGACTTCCTCTGTCTCAGCATCTTCAGGAACATGCTTGAGAATCTCAACCTTCAGTCACAAGTTAGAACATAGGAGTTTTGGGTAGAAATATAAGGTTTTATAATGATACACAGTTTTAATGAAATATTAAAAACTGGACTTTTGCAAGCACATATAATCATATTTCTATGTTCTAGTCACTATTTATTTATTCAGTAATTACTTACTACCACATGCTAGTCATCATAAGTCCTGAGGATACAGCAATGAACAAAAGAGCCAAAGTTCCTTTTTGCCATAATCTAAATTTTTAACCAAGGAAAATGAGGATATGATACAAGGTTCTGACTGATACAATGTGTGTTAGTGCCAGACGGTAAAAAGGCCTGTCAAAAATGATCCAGGTAAGAGGACAGAGGGTGGAAGGTGAGGGCTGGGGATGTCTCTCTAAGAGCCTTCATTTCAGCAAGGACATGAAGTGTGGAAGTGGACTATGATAGTACTGGACAAGCAGTACTCTAAACAAAAACCAAATGTAAAGCTTTGAAGTTTAAATTGGTGTGGTTTGTATGAAGGATGAAAAAAGTTACTGTGGCTAAAACACTGTGATAGAACATAGAAGACTGGAGCAAAACTCAGGTGTCAGACCATGACTTTACAGACTAGAAACAGACTTTAAAGTTTTATTCTAAGGTGATGAAGAACCATTGGCAGATTCTGAGGCAGGGACTAGTATTTTGCTTAACACTTCAGAAAGATTATTGGACAACTGTGTGGAAAACAGACCACGGATATGGAAAAGGGAAAATAGCAAAAGCAGAGGTCAAGACACCAGAAGATCAGTTAGGAGATCACTGCAGTTGTTTTGAGTATGAGATAACAGCTTGCACAAGATGGCACTGATGGAGATACTGACACTCAGATCTGGGATGTATTTTGAAAATACAGCTGGTATGACTAAGTGATCAAAGAGATGTGGAGAATGACAGGATGAAGTCGATGATTCCGAATTCCTGGCTCAAATAAATGGATGAAATGCTGGTGTCAGTTAAAAGAGACTGCTAGGAAAGGAATTAAGATTTCATTATATTTTTTACTTAATACAAAGATTCTCTTGAATATAATGCATTATTTTATCATATAAAAATTGTATTACATGCCTGTTGTTCGAGGTCTTCAGTATATTTCTTAACTTTTTGTTCTCTCTCTGTTGCTTCTTTTACAAGCTGTTTGAGGTCAGTAATGCTTTGATTTTTTTTGGCAATATCAGTTTCCAATTCTTTCAGTTTAGTTTCATACATTCTGAAAGTATAAAGGAAAAACCATATAGACATGGTATGTAATTTCTCATTAATTCAGTTCAAATTATTACACTAAAAATAGTCAAGAATATCTTACTATATTCTCTTCTAGTCAAAACCATTGTCCTTTTTAGGTACATACTTACTTAGCACTGAAAGGTTATAGCAGGGGTAAGTATTTCTATTTAACAAATATTCCAATTAAAAGAAAGTATCTAGGTGCTTCCCCAAATTATGAATACAGATGGAGTCTGTATTGGACCACTGTAAAGTTCAGTGTAAAAGTCAAAACCAAAAAACAGAGATACAAAGTCAAATTCATCAGACTATGCAATTTGTATTAGTAGAAATGTTTAGGAATACAAAGATGGCAGAAAAACATGCATACACACAAAAGTTTCCATACATATACACAGGGGAGGTATCCATGGAAAACACAATACAAAAAATCCTGTAGCCGAACTAAAAATCTGTCCAAAGGCATGGGTAGAATAATACATGATATGGGAAGAATGAAGACTGTAAAAATCTAAAAAGTTAAAAAATCCATATGACAAAGCAAATTGTCAAAAAATTGAGCTAAATAGTTTTAAAGCAATATCACCTAAATGAAGATAATGCTTGTAATATTCAAACTTTTCCAGAAAAGAGGGAAGGGGGAGGATTGCCTTTCTGTTAAGTTAAAAAGGCTAGTAATATTTCTTTGGCACCAAAATTTGGTAGAAATAGTGTAAGGAAGAAAAATCATGATTATCTAAGTATATTCAAATAACTTTTAATAGACCATAGAAGACAATGCTCTTAACTTGATAGGACTACCCACCTAAGGATAAAGTAAAACATAAGATGCCCGTTCCTTCACTTCATCCTCTTCGCTGTTCAACCCATCCAAGCAGAGAGGCCTTCTCTAATGATGCTGTGTAAAATAACCTCTAGCTCGCCCTAGACTGTCCCACAGTCAGAAGTTGGGACACAGAAT